CCAACTTGGGCCAGTGAAGCAACGTCCTCCACAACTAGACTGAAGAACAAAAGGACAGCAACTTGTCTGTTCCCTTTCCCCTAATTCCCCAGCACTGTTCCCACCCCCCAACTGCCCAATAAAAATCTTTAAAAAAAAAGAACTGGTTAAATGGTTAAGTTTTGCAGGGCATTAGGATGGGCTGGGGTTCCTCATCCCTGCTCCTTGCTATAGGTAGAGTCATGCTCACACAGGACAACTGTCAACAGGTATTTAAAAGCAGTAATTACCACTTGTCCATAAAGCTCCTTCAGTTTGTCTGTCTGCTGGTTGGCACTTTCTATTGTCTTCAAGGCATTCTCAATTCGGTTCAGCCTATACTCACAATACGCCTTCTCAAAAGAAAGAGAGTTACTGAAAATGGAAAAAAACAATATTTGATTATTAGCTAACACAGCAGAGCACTCACTGTATGCCAGATACTGTTCTAGACACTTGATGTATATTAATTATTTAATCCCCATTAACAACAGATGAGGAAACTGACAAAGATTAGTGACCTGTCTGAAAGTCAGACAGGTCATCATGGCAGAAAATATTACATCCATTTCCTGAACCTCTCTTGCTTTCATGGATATTCTTATGAGAATTATTGGCCCTTTGAAACAAACACTTAAGAATGAAATAATAAATTAGCCAATAATTGTCTTAGATACAAAGACAATATGAACACTATTTTAAATGGGTTATTATAGAAGTTTCTTAAATCTACTGATCAAATAATAAGCCATGTAATGCTGCTTTTAACTTGTTCAAGAAACAAATGATTAGCAAACAAAAGTAACTATAAATCTTAAAAGAACATAGTATTTTTATTCAAATGGTAAACACACATCTATAAATATACTACTTATATACATACATCTAAAAATCCATATACATTAATGTGACTCCTGAAACAATTTTGAAGTTTCATCCATTACCCATGCGAAAAAATACTCATCAAAACAAATGGCAATATCCTTTATTTACTTGCCTAACAAAAATTATTTCCAAATTTCCTATCTCAGAAAATGGTCAAACTTCACAATACTGAATTTCAGCATAAACATGTTTACTAATAGACAGCAGTATTCTCTTTATTTCCCTTTTATTTTTAATGAAGTTTTAGTTTTTAATCTGTAATACATGTATATGGCTCAAATAAAAAAACAAAAACGTGTACACTAAGAGGTTTAACGCCCACAGCTTTTCAAATCTACCCTTACCTCCTTACCTCCTACAAGTGACTATTTTTATTCACTGTTTCTCTGGCCAGTGTTTCTTTTTGCAAATATAGGAAAATACAGGTATAAATTCTTATATCCTCCTTTTTTTATATACAAAAGTATACTATATACTGCTCTGCACCTCATAAACCAGAATCTTATTAAAGAATAAATATGCTTCAAACTTCATTCAGAATATAAGTTCACATTTCATGAAAAAATAAATGAAAATATTAACAACAGCAAAAATACTAGTACAGTCTTCAAGACTACTAAAGAACTCTGACACTGAAAGATCTTGGCCTAAAATCACACCTAAACAATTCTCAAAAGAGGCGAGCACAGAGGTCAGGCTAATATTGCTATGCCATCCTAGAGACCTCCTCCTTACATACATTGCTACCCTACCTGTTCTGCCTGCTCTGCCTCTTTTTTTTCTTTTTTTTTTAAACTTCTGTTCTCCCTCCCTAAGTCCTCTGAGAACTTTTGTTACATTTATGCTCCACATCCCTCCACAGTTTATCTCCCCCTTAGTGGCTCAAAGGGAAGACAGGTAAAGAAAGAGCTCCTTAAGGCAGAAAAGAGTAGTTACTATTACTCCTTCCAGTTTCAAAAACACTACTGGAAAGCAGCAGCAACAACAACAGAAAAAAAAAAAAGAAGAAGGAAGGAAAGAAACGGGGCAAAAATCACTGAATAGTGGGAAAAAACCCCACAGAAATGGTTATAGCTATGGTAAAAGTGTTTCTAATAACTGTACAAACAAACAACTAGTTGAATCACTTACTTGGCTAACACTTTGGTGTGAGTATTGATGACATTCAAGGCTTCCTTGAAACTCCCATTCTGGATAAGGCATACCACTTTACAGTGTAGGGCAGTGACATCATCCTTGTTGATCTGCAGTACTACAGAACAATGTAGGAAAATAATTTTTAAATCCATCCCCTTTTCACATTTTTACTAAATTTTCCCACCCCTGCCTCAGGAAACTACATTTCCAATTTTATTGCAGCAGAAATGACCAGTCAAAACATTCTTTTTAAAAAAGGCAGATCTTGGGCCGGCCAAGTGTCTCAGTTGGTTAAGAGCTCGCTCAAGAGTGCGAGCTCTGAGCAACAGCGGTTCGAAGCCTGGCCTGAGCTGAGCTGCCAACAGGTAGCAGGATGGCTCAGCTTAAAAAAAATAAAAAAATAAAAAGGCAAATCTTCATTTATAACATAAGAAGTGATAATTAGGAGAGTTATAATTTAGTAAGTTATATTTTTAGTGAGATAGATTCCCAAGATGCATGTTCCCCAAAAGGAGACTGAAATAAAGAAGCACAAAAGAAGTTGTTTTCTCCAGCTTTTTCACTATGGGATGCATCCTACATCCTACATCCTACATATTTAATTACTTCTCAGGGAAAGAAAAAAGTTCATGTAGAATTTGGAAACAAATGACTTAATTTTGAGTACAAGATTATCACTAGATGCTTTGAGGTCTTAGGCAAGTCACCTAGCATCAAATCTTAATTTTCTGATCTGCAAGATAAGTATGAAAGCATTACTTATTTTACAAGGTTACCAAGAAGATGAAATGAGAATATTTTGGAGATATTTATAAGCTGTAAAGTACACAAATGTAATTTGTCTTGCTGGCCATAGTTCCAAAAACCATTCAAAATTTTCCTTTTCACCTAAGATGACTAAAGAGTAGTACAAGAAAGGATTCAGGTAGCCAAGTTTCGATGCTAAACATCTGTTCAGTGACAAAACGACCAGGATCACTCCCTTTTGTTCCTGGGCAACTACAGAAATTCAATTCTAAGAATCAAAGAAATTTTTGCCAATTAAGAATATATTAGGGCCGGCCGAGTGGCTCAGTTGGTTAAGAGCTGGCTCAAGAGTTTGAGCTCTGAGCAACAGCGGTTCAATTCCCGGCCAGAGCTGAGCTGCCACTGAGCTGCCAACAGGTGGCAGGATGGCTCAGCTAAAAAAATAAAAAATAAAAAGAATATATTGGAAAAAAACCCAAAAAACTGACAGCCCTTGATTAAATGATTCCTGCAAAATACATTGTTACTGAGTAGTATTGGTTGCAGGCCTAAGCCAAAGACTACCGTTAATTCAAAACAAGTCTAGGAATCAAATAATTCTTATTAGTACCTATTTTCTTCAGTGTCTGAAATCACCAAAAGTACACTGTGAGCACAATCACTTCTTTTCATTTTAACCCAGCAACAGGTTGTTGAAATTTATTTATACAACCCTGTATGTTACTAGCATACCTTGTATGCTATTACTGCTTTAAATAGCCAGTAATTACATTTCCTGGTAATTACATTTCCAAATCTACCAAATATAGGCTGCATCTTCAATAAAGCATTTAGCACAACGGAGAGCATTAGAAAGCATGGCCATGTTACAGTCAGTTACACAGTAAAGGATAAAAGAGTAGAATGAGTATGCTTCATACCAAAGGCAGGTTACTCGAAATTATCAGTTACAGGGCAAAAAAACAGGCCAAACTTTTCTTTCGACGTTATTTCACATGTTAGTGCTTTCACACACATTTTCTGGTCTAATGACATTGGCTTCTATCTGTGGAATGCAGGCCTGACATCCAGATCCAGCCGTTCCCTCTCCCGAGTCCGTACAGCTCCCACCTTGTCAGTCCCAGCTTCTAAATTACGTGTCCCAAGTAGGTGCCTCCCCCTCGCTGCGGCCCAAGAGAACAAGCTCCCTTTGCAATACTGTCTCGATTACCCCGCTAAATGAAAGGAGAAAAGATGGCAATGTGGCATATTTGCGAAATAAGACATGAAAACAGAGGAGTCAAAGAAGAAAACAGTTTGGATCAGGCGCCGGGAGCTGCGGTCTCTTTAAATCCCTCGCTCGCTTCCCGCGGGGGAGGGAAAGTCCAGTACACGTGGCTCTAAACAACCCAAGCCCCAAGGCGAGCCTGACCGACGGGGGTCTGTGACCCCCGCCCGCCCCGCCCGCCGGGCGTTCGCTCGGGGCAGCCAGCTGTGCGGGTCTCTCCTCCCGGCGTCTACTCGGCGGTGGTCGCGCGCGCGCCGGAAGGAGGCCGCATCCTTCCGCCGGCCCGGCACCCGCCGGGACACTTACTCTTATTCACGGTCTTGAGGGCACGCGTGAAATCGCCGTTCTGGCCATAGCGGTTCACTTCGCTCCAGAGCGCAGACACCGAAACCCCCCCACTGCCGCCGCTCGCCATCTTAGAGGAAACGCGGGAGGGGCGGGGCGACCTCTTCCCCGGAAGAGGATCTCGGAGGTGGCCAAGCGAAGGAGGAAACCAGTGGTTGCTAAGCGCTCGGAGTCGGAAGCTCCCTTTTCCCGGAGTCTGCGTGAGACATCGTAAGCTTCCGCTGTGGTTGCTACAACTCGTGGATGGCGTGGATACACCTGCCTTACTAGAAGCGGGTCTGGAGGAACGAGGCGTCGGACCGTGGGAGCGGGTTGAGAAGGGGTTCACCCAACAGTTTCAGCTCCAAGCAGCGTGCGTTTCCGGGGCGACCGCTGCGGGCCAAGCAGTGTGCTGGTCCCACGAGGCGGAGCTGGCGACGGATCTATGGAGGATAAATAAAAGGTCTACGGGATGGTAAGATACTAACTAGAAACCATAGGGAGTTATTTGAAGAAAAGGGGCATGGGGGAGAAAGCGGGGGGCGGGGGGAGACAGCGTCTTGCTGCTTGAGAGTACTTCAGAGAGGAATTGGCATTTGAATGCGATCTTGAAAGATAATTAGGAAAACCTGGGGTTGGTTCTGGGTACAGTTGCGGCAGAGAAGCGAATATGAGGGAAGGCACAGAAGAAAAGAATCTCGAAGTGCAAAACAAGTTTGGTGAAACCCCTTGGCTGCTTTGCATCCAGTTCGGGAGCAGAAGGCAGTAAGACCGGAAAGGTAATGTGTTTGGGGAGGAGAAGGTTCCGGTTAGTTCATGGCCCGCGACTCATGAGATGTCTACGAACAAGTTACTTTATCGAGTCCCAGTTTTCCCGACTGCAAAATAGGGATAATGCATAATTGTCATAGGGAGAAAAGATCATTGATGCATCTGGCAGAGTGAGCACTCAAGCAACAGGGAGTTGAGGGTTTTTGTAAACCCTAAATTGTTAAATATCAAGATGTGTTTGTCAGGACAGAGTACCAGTTGAGTACTCTCGATGAAATGACAGGACATTTTATTGAGCACCTACTCCGTAGATTCATGTCTTGTCAGGATCCTACCACCTCCTGCCGCTTCCCCTCCTCTTTCCCAGCAACCTAGCTAACTTCTTTTCATCCTTCAAGGTTTCTGTATCCTGTTTCCAGATTAAAAGTTACTTCTTTGATCTTGCAGACCAGGCAAGGATACGCATCACTCTCTCATAGGGCTGTTTTTGAGCGTATCATTGTTTAAGCCTATCTCACTCTATCAGCGGTTCTCAACCTGTGGGTCGCGACCCCTTTGGGGGTCGAAGGACCCTTTCACAAGGGTCGCAGGGTACTCGTATGTGGGCGTATCTGCATGTGGGCCTGGAGATGGATAGAGGAGCGGTGTCTCGGATCCTAAGACCATCGAAATTATGTTTTCCGATGGTCTTAGGCGACCCCTGTGAAAGGGTGAGAACCGCTGCTGAGTCTAGATGGACTATAATTTCCATGAGATCAAGACCCATATTTACTTTGCTCACTGCAGTACCCCTAGGGTCTAGCGAAGTGACTGACACATAGTTGGTACCTAACTTTTTAATTGAATGAGTTTTTGCTTATTTCTCCTCTGCTCTGTGAGTTCCTTGAAGGTAGAAACTGTGTCCTGCTCATGGTTTTTTCCTATGGTGCCTGGCACATTTCATGTCTGATCAATATAGTACAATGCAAAAACAGCGCTAATGGTGGCGTGAACTCTAGCTTGGGAGGACATAATTTCTGTGAATTAGTAAAACTTAATGGGAAGAGCTGTGGACTTGCACTGGCTGTGGAACCATCACAGGTTTCAAGTGAATTATGTTAAGGGAGTTCTAGATGACATTTGGTGTACCCAGATTTTTGTGCAAATTTTTCTGAGAAAAGGTTTTGTAGCTTCTATCAGATTCTCCAGAGGTGTTTATATCAACCCTCCCACCCATCCCCAAGGTTAAGAATCATTGCCTTAGTAGTGCTTTTTTAACTTGTCAGATTGACTTTATATAAGGATTACAATTTTGGTTTTATCATTCTGTTCCCATGTACTTTGTAGCTGCTAGAAATGCCTAAGAATTTCTCTGTCATGGATTCCTGTTTCTATTTCTTCTGTCATTTTAAAGAGGTGTTCTGACAAACAGGATATAAATATATACTTTTAACCTGCCATTCTTGAAACAGGAGTCTTCCAAACCAGTGATCTTTTTAAAGCATGTATCTAATGGCCCTCTCCTACCCTTAGGATAAAATCCAAACTACAAAGCCTAACATGAAGGTCCTTTATGACCTAGCCTGTGCTTGCCACCTCTCCAGTCCACATAGGTCTTTTGTTCCCCTCTCCCTACTCCCCTTGCGTGTTATATTCCTCCAATATATGTGTAGTTCCATGTTGCCATACTTCTGGGAATTGGCATTTACTTGTTCGACAAATATTTGAGTACCCTGAATGTGCCATTGTCAGGCATTATACTAGTTGCTAGGGATAGTTACCAAAAGGCAACCCAGTGATTTTACAGAATTTGTTTTCTAGTTGGGAGAAGCAATAAACAAATACATACTGTTTGGTGGTAATCAATTCTATGAAGGAAATTAGGAAAGGTAAGGATTGAAAAGAGTGCAGAGTTGAGTCCCTCCTTTTCCTTCACATTATATACTCATTTAGATCTCCTCCTGTGTATTCATAATATCCTATCCTTTACTCCATGACAATATAGTGTTTTGAAATTGTCCGAATTGTCCACCCCTGGAATATTCCAGGACTTATTGAGGGCAAAATTGGATCTTCATTGTTGCATCCTCAGGGTCTTGCACATAGTAGGTACTCAAAAACTTATTTTTGCATTAATGGATTTAGCCATTTATGATTTGAAAGCTTTCATGTACATTGTCATTTTATCCAAACTGAGACAGGCAGAAGAAATATTTAGCCAACTTTACAAATGAGAACTGCAACTCAGTCATGTGCCCAAGGAACTTTTTATTTCCATTCCACTATTTTCCCTGTTCCATGATGCTAGATTAACAACTCCATAAGTATTTGAGGCTGTGGGCAGTTGAATGCAAAAAGCACCATGAAAAACATTTTCATTGGCTTTCCAAGAACTGCTGGGCTGAAGATGGCAGGGAGATTGTTCATGTGCCATGGCACATCAGGCTTTAACCCACATTACGCTGCCTCTGCCTTTTTCCTGTTTTGAGAAATTAGCTAAAGGGAATATTTGTTTTCATAGTGAATCAATTCCACTCTTTCCATCCTCTGCACTCTGCTAAATAGATATTATGTAATGCATTCATGTGCCAAGATATACTTTACATGTACTGACTCATTTAATTCTCAACCTTATGAAATGGTTGGTATTAGTCCCATTTTACGGATGAGGAAATTGAGTCACAAAAAATTTAAATAACTTATTGAGTCACATCATCCCTCACCTGGACTACAACAGCCTCTTAATCTCCTTGCTTTTGTCCATAATAGCCAGAGAACTTGAAAACATGGTAAGTACATCATGTCATGCCCTTGCTCCAACTTTCCAATGGTTTTTCCTCACACTTCAGTATGGCCTACAGGCCCTAAGTGATGTAGCCCTTGCTTACATGAACATGATCTACTCTTACCTTGCTCATAAAGCTCCAGCAATACTAGCATGTTTGCAGGCCTTTATTTTTTGCTTTTCTCTTATTCTGGAAAGCTGTTTCTCCGTATCTTTACATGGATTGCTTTTATACATCATTGCCCTGCTCCTCTCAAAAACCTTCCTTTTATCCCTGTCACTATCTTCTCACCTTGGTTATTCTTCATATGCATGTACACTTCCTTAAATCTATCAGATTTTCTTTTGTAGCTTGTCATCCCCAATAAAATGTTTTGTGAGGCTGGGGGCCTTGTCTCTATTCAGTGATGCTTTCCTAGGACCCAGAATAAAACCAGGCAAAATATGTACTTCACAAATAAATGAATAAAGCTTCACACAGGAGTTGGATCTTTGTCTTTTATTTGGCTGCAATGTTTAAATTTCAGAAGGCATTAAAACAACAGCCATTCTAAGCATGGCTTTATGACACCAAGTTTAAATACTGCATTATTGGGCACAATTTTCCTTTCTCTTTTCATGTTTAGATACAAGTTCATACCCAAAGAAGGCAAGCCAGTTATAGTTTGTGTAAGTTCCTTTTTACAATGGTTAAAATACTTTCAAACAAGTATTTAGCACTGATGAACTACTGAGGATATATGTACTCTACTAAGAAACTAACAGTGAAACGGATGACCATTGAAAATGGTCAATCCTATCCACCAGTCTAAATCAGTGTTTGAAAACTGTCATGTATTATATACAGAAACAGGCGGACAGAAGAGCTGAAATAGCAGCCAGGGACAACTGAGTGAGCATGAAGCCAAAGTTTACAGATGTTAAAATCAAAGCTTTATTCTTGTGAACTAACGTAAGAAAATTAAGCCGTACATGATTTTTACAATTCCCCCATCTATGACAGACAGCTAGGCATAGGATATCAGAACATAAGGCAGTCTGAGAGAAATAAAGTGTAAAATTATATTTTGTCTCTTGGAGCTTACAATCCAACAGAGTAAGAACTACTTATAACCACTGTAGCTATAGGTGATTAGGGAAGATTTCATGGAGACAGTGAAGATAAAGCTCCAGTAATTAAGGAATAGATTTTAATGACAGAAATGAGGACATTCTAAGAACTAAAGGTACAAATAAGTAGTCCAAAAATTATAAGCCAGCTCCGTGGGTGGGTTATATCAGCGATTCTTAACTTACAGACCACAAATAATCTTCAAGGGAATCCCCAAACCAGTGAAATCAGTTGGTGATTTGTGTGTAATTTCCTAGGGAAAAGGTCAACAACATTTATATTTTCAAAGGAGTTTATGTTGCAAAAGAGATTGTAAGAGCTTGTGTTGTAAGTCCTTGGACAATCAACTTCAAAAAGGTTGAGCTGAGAATGAAGACCTACAGAGGCTAATGTAGAATTTGACCCCTACTTGAGGCTTTTGTACCATGGATGGGTAAATGGTAATAAATTCAAGACTTGGTGATAAGTTAGATGGGAAAGGTCAGAGAAACATCAAGATTATGATTTGGGACAGTTGAGTATAGAGGTGAAAAAGCATAGACAAGTTTAAGGGGTTCATGGACACTTGGATGAAAGTTTAGTGATCTCTAAAATCCTCAGGGCTGCATAGCTGTAACAGTGATTTCCAATCTATTAGGCTGTTGGAAAAATGCGTCATGACTTTTTCGACAACCCAACATACGGCTTATAGACTGATGATAACCTGTAATACCTCTCAGTAACTGCTCCTTTAGAAGTGAATCTTGCTGGGTACACTGCTCCTACTTATAAGAAACTAGTTATGGTTATCAACTGGGACATTCCAATTTCTGAAAATGATGGTA